GGGAGTGGGGATAAGTAATGCTTTATTTCCAATGAAATAATAGTCCATCAATGAGGAATATCCCGAACGGCTGATGACCAAAGTTGCTTTTGAAATCAATTCTGCAATGGCCGGTCCTGTTAAAAGATCAGTATGAGGTATGGCTGTATGCAGGGGCTGAACATTTGAGGCACCTCTTACCAAAAAGTAGCGGCCTTTACTTTTTTCCATCTGTTTAAGCAAGACTTCTTCCAATATGGAGCGCTGCGGTTCGGGACCACTCAATATAGCCACTACATCATAGGCATCAGGCTGCCCTGATATGCTCCTCAACTGAGATAAAGGCCCTATATAGTGTGTCGGGATTTTAGGGAGATTGGTATGTGTTAATGTACCGGCCAGGCTGTATTTCTCATCCTCAAAATCAGGAACCCAGCATGCGTTGAACTTATTGATATAGTTATGATGAATGGCATTGGCTAAGGAAGCAGGGAAAGGTAAAATAATTTTGAGCTGGTGGGTTATAAAAGCCGAAGGTACCTGATGATTATAAAAGCCCAAACGGTTATCAGACACAATTCCCTTAGCATCGTATTTAGCCACCAGTTCTTTTGCAATTGAACGCTCACTGCGCACCGCTTTTCCTATACGGGGTAATTGGGTAACTATGTTGAATACAAAAGCTCTTTTGGAGTAGTGCACCTCATAGCCTGGCAATTTTTCAAAAGGCAGATCCTTAAAAACACCCCGCAAATAGTCCAGAGCTGCACCGTCCGATGCAATAACTGGTGTAAAGCCATGATCTATTAAGGCTCTGATAACCGGAACCGACCGTGTGGCATGGCCCAGTCCCCAGTTGAGCACTCCATATAAAATATGTGATGTGGTTTTCATATACCTCAGCCAATATCCGAAAATTGCCGATTGTAGGCACATTGCACTATTTTTGCCGGATGGCGAGAAGGAAATTGCAGCGTTTTGCTGAAAACAAAGAATTTGAACACGTAATTGAACCCAGCCGTGAAGAAGTACTTAAGGGGCTTGCGCAGAAAGGTAAATGGCAAAGTGATTTTTTTAAGAATGACAACCCCATAGTACTGGAATTAGGCTGTGGTAAAGGTGAATATACCCTGGCTATGGCCAGGCGCTTCCCTGAAAAAAACTTTATTGGGATAGACGTAAAAGGCGCACGAATTTGGTATGGCGCCAGTGAAGTACATGCAGAAGGATTGTCCAATGCTGGTTTTTTACGCACCCAGATCGAGCTGATTGACCGTTGCTTTGAAGCCGGAGAGATCAGTGAAATATGGATTACCTTCCCTGACCCTCAAATCAAGCATAAACGATCCAAACACCGCCTTACCCACCCGGCTATGCTGGAACGTTATCAAACCATCCTGAAAAAAGATGGCCTGGTACACCTTAAAACAGACAGCGAGTTTTTACATGGCTATACGGCAGGTCTTTTAGAAGTATTGGAACACCCTGTATATGAAGCGTGGTTTGATATAGATCACCAGGTCAGAGATCGTGAAAACCTTCTGCATGAGGTTACTACACATTATGAAAACCTTTTCAGGAGCAAGGGGAAAGCTATTACCTATCTCCGTTTTAGCTTTAAAAACTGATCATGGAAACCAACTTTTTTGATCGTGTATACGCTGTGGTAAAGCTGATTCCCTATGGCCGGGTAACCAGCTATGGTGCTATTGCCCGTTTTATTGGCGCGCCCAAAAGTGCACGGATGGTTGGTTATGCCATGAACGCTTCAGGAACAATGCCGGATATTGCTGCACACCGTGTAGTTAACCGCAATGGTTTGCTTAGCGGGAAGCATCACTTTAGCGGCACCAACCTTATGCAAAACCTCCTGGAATCAGAAGGTATGGAGGTGATTGAAAATAAAATCCAGAACTTTAAAGAAGTTTTCTGGGACCCCAATGAAGAACTTAACCGTGATGACTTTGTATCATGAGTGGTAAACTATACCTTATACCCACACCTATCGGAAATCTGGAAGATATGACCCTGCGGGCTATACGAATGCTCAAAGAGGTTGACTTTATTCTTGCCGAAGACACACGCACCAGTGGTAAACTCTTGCAACACTATGAAGTGAGTACACCGTTGCGCTCTTACCATATGCACAATGAGCATAAGGTTACGCAATCATTGGTAGATGAATTACAAAACGGACGTATCATAGCGCTCATAACCGATGCAGGTACTCCGGCCATATCAGATCCGGGCTTCTTGCTTTCAAGGGAGGCCATAAAGGCCGGTATAACCATTGAAACCCTGCCCGGAGCCACAGCTTTTGTTCCTGCCCTGGTAAACTCAGGTTTGCCCGCTCACAACTTTGCTTTTGAAGGGTTTTTACCAGTTAAGAAAGGCCGTAAAACCCGGTTGGAAGACCTGGCTTCAGAAAAGCGCACCCTTATTTTTTACGAGTCGCCTTACCGAATTGTAAAAACACTGGAAGACCTATTGACTGCTTTTGGGGAAGATCGACAGGCTTCGGTATCCCGGGAGATCAGCAAAAAGTTTGAAGATACCCAAAGAGGTGCATTGAGTGAACTGGCTCAACAGTTCAAAAAAAATTCTCCTAAAGGAGAATTTGTGGTTTGTGTAGCGGGGAAATCCTAAACGTGCATAATCTCGCCTTCCTTTTTATCAAGGATTTCGTCTATCTTTTTTGTGTATTTATTGGTTGTGTTCTGCACCCTTTCTTCCGCATCTTTAATCAGGTCTTCCGAAATACCGTCCAACTCTTTGATCTCGTCATTAGCTTCCTTTCTTGCGCTGCGGATACCAATACGGGCGTCTTCACCCTCAGCCCTGGCGGCTTTTACCAGATCTTTTCTTCTTTCTTCGGTAAGGGCGGGGATGTTGATTATCACCAGCTCCCCATTGTTCTGAGGATTCAGCCCCAAATCAGAGTTAAGGATTGCTTTTTCAATTTCCGGGATCATAGCCTTTTCCCACGGCTGTACGGATATAGTTCGTGCATCAGGAGTGCTTACATTGGCCACCTGGTTTAAGGGTGTTTGCGAGCCGTAATAATCCACACGCACAGAATCAAGCATACTTGGGTTGGCTCTGCCAGCCCTGATCTTCAGAAGGTTTTTTTCCAGGTGCGAGATGGATTTATCCATTTGCTCCCTGGCCATATCTAAAATCATATTAATTTCTTCCATAGTAATACAGGATATAAAAGAGGATTAATTTTCAACCAATGTACCTACCACTTCACCCGTTACAACCTTCTTGAGGTTACCCGGGGTGTTCATATCAAATACAAGAATAGGTAATTTGTTTTCTTTACTCAAAGTAAAAGCCGTCATATCCATCACATTGAGCCCTTTCTCATACACTTCTTTGAAGGATAACGTATCGTATTTAACCGCGTTTACATCCTTCTCCGGATCTGCACTGTAAATACCGTCTACACGCGTTCCTTTCAGTATTACATCCGCATTAATCTCAATTGCCCTGAGTGTAGCGGCTGTATCTGTGGTAAAATAAGGGTTCCCTGTTCCAGCTCCAAAGATCACCACCCGGCCTTTTTCAAGGTGTCGCACGGCACGCCTTCTTATAAAAGGTTCAGCAATTTTATTCATTTCAATAGCGCTTTGCAGCCGGGTTTTCACACCTATCTCCTCCAATGCAGATTGCAGCGCCAGCCCATTGATCATGGTAGCCAGCATCCCCATGTGATCTCCCTGCACGCGATCCATCCCTTCACTGGCACCACTAAGGCCTCTGAAGATGTTACCGCCACCGATAACTATGGCCACTTCCACACCTTCTTCCACCACGCCCATAATCTCACGGGCGTACTCCTTGAGCTGGTCTCCACTGATACCGAATTGCTGATCACCCATCAGGGCTTCACCACTAAGCTTTAAAAGGATTCTTTTGTATTTCATGAAAGGATTTGTGAGCGCAAATATAGGAAGGTTGATGACTTAGTTTGAAATTACTCTAAAATCATTTGACTCATCAGCCCTAGCACTGTTTTTTCGTCTTAAATGTAAAAAGCCCCGGAAAATTCCGGGGCTTTCTCTATATATCTTCAAGAAGAAAAGGTTTATACACCCAATCCTACTCTCTTAAATTCTGTAATGGTTAATCCGCTCTTTACAGAGTCCAGGTATTTGGTAATATTCATTTTACCATCACGGATATAATCCTGCTCAAGCAAGGTGTTCTCCTTGTAAAATTTATTCAGGCGACCCTGAGCAATTTTATCAAGCATTTCCTCGGGCTTACCTTCCTGACGAGCCTGATCGCGACCTACTTCCAGTTCACGCTCAATAACTTCCTGAGGTACACCATCCCGCTTAAGAGCTACCGGGTTCATAGCGGCAGCCTGCATAGCTACATTACGGCCAGCCTCTTCAGCCTCATCATTCATAGCTACCAATGTAGCCAGTTTGTTACCAGCGTGAATATAGCTGGCTACAAAGTTTCCACTAACTGTCTCGTAGCCCCCGATTTCCAGTTTTTCGCCAATTACACCCGTTTGTTCAGTAAGCTTCTCGCCTACGGTAATATCTCCAAAAGACAGCGCCAAAAGAGCATCCCTATCAGCAGGCTTTTCTTCCAGAGCTTTGTCGAGAATGCTTTGAGTAAGCTCTACAAAGCTTTCGTTTTTGGCAACGAAATCTGTTTCACAGTTCAGGCTCACGATAGCACCAAAAGTGTTATCAGCGGTAGTAGCAGCTAAAACACAACCTTCGGTAGCCTCGCGGTCGGCACGCTTAGCAGCGATCTTCTGACCTTGCTTACGCAGAATGTCGATAGCTTTTTCAAAGTCACCGTCAGCTTCCTGAAGGGCCTTTTTACAGTCCATCATACCAGCACCGGTTTGTTTTCTCAGTTTGTTTACGTCTGCTGCAGTTATTGTAGCCATTGTATTTAAAAGTTTAAGTAATGTTATTGAAAATCAAGAAAGGGATAAAAATCGCTTTTCACCCCTTCCTGTATATCATGATAGTGTTAAGAAAAGCTTAGAATGATCAGTTGGATTTTTCTACCTCAGCGGCAGCTTCATCCTGGCTGGCTTTCTTGTTGGCCGCTTTCTTGATCTTTTCGTTCGCGGTTTTTTCCTTATCCGCTTTACGCTCCGCCAAACCTCCTTTAATGTAGGCAGTTACCTTGTTCACCATAACATCTATGGAACGGGTAGCATCATCATTAGCAGGAATTGCGAAATCAACAGCCTGAGGATCTGAATTAGTATCCACAATAGCGAAGGTAGGAATACCCAGCTTTTGAGCTTCAGCCACCGCAATATGCTCCTTATTGATATCTACAATAAAAAGAGCTCCCGGAAGGCGCGTCATATCCGAAATAGAACCCAGCTGCTTCTCAAGTTTCGCACGTTGACGGTCTACTTGTAATCTTTCTTTCTTGGAAAGGGTCAGGAAAGTTCCATCCTCCTTCATTTTATCAATACCCTGCATCTTCTTAACGGCCTTACGGATAGTTACGAAGTTGGTAAGCATACCACCAGGCCAGCGCTCCGTGATATAAGGCATGTTCACTTCTGCTCCGGCAGCAGCCACAATTTCTTTAGCCTGCTTTTTAGTAGCCACATACATGATCTTACGTCCGGAAGCGGCAATCTTAGCCAGAGCTTCACCAGCCTTATCAAGCTTAGCTTGTGTTTTGTAAAGATCGATAATGTGGATCCCGTTGCGCTCCATAAAAATGTAGGGCGCCATATTGGGATTCCATTTGCGGGTTAAATGGCCGAAGTGCACTCCGGCATCCATCATTTCCTTAATGTTGTCGTTTGCCATTTTAAATTGTTGTTTACATTCACTAAAATCAATCTACCGGTGGTTAATACGTCATGCGTAAAGCGCCCGGTAAATTTGGATACTAAACCAATATTAACGCTTGGAGAATTGGAAT